CTTTCAGTTCATCAGCAGATGGCGTCGAGAGTCGGTCGCCCTCCGGACATTCCGATAGCGCTGGACAGCCGAGTCACGAGGACGGCGACGATACTGAGGCCACTAAGTGCTCGCCTAACGCCCCTCTGAAACGTGCCTTCCCCAGTCCGGGCAAGAGTCCCGAGACAAAGACAAAAAGACCGGCCTCAGCAGCGGGAAGAAAGCAGAGTAGTAGCACCTCTACGCCGCCAGGGCCTTCTGTTGACTATACTGGGATATCTGAACACGCGGATAGTTCCTGCTATGACTTTGATCCCTTCCATGTGCACAACTTTGCTGAGTCCTTCAAATCCCAGCCCGCCTTCCCTACGCCCAACTGCTTTTCTCCGGAATGCACTACGCCGTCTCTGCAAAATTCGAACTCCTACGAATCCCCAGAGGCGCCCGACCTTGATGACGTGAGTATTATTGGTTTGCTTAATGCATGGGCACCTTCAGAGTTTAAGCATATGGAACCTACGCCCCTCTCCCATTCGGACGGAGGATTATTTAAGTGGGTGGGACGATAAACCAGTACGACTTCATTGTTTGCATTGTAGGGTGAGGAATTTTTTTTGGCAGACTACTTTTCTTAACCGCTACAAATAAGTTATAAAATATAACGTGTGGGGCGAGGGAATATTTGGCTGATAAGGTTCAAGCTGTACACGGATTTTCTGAGGTAACTATCCACTGTCGATAGTGCGAAATGCACAATTAAACTGACAGCAAAGAAGTAAGTGGAATGGAGTTTTGAAAGACAGGACAATCTTCTTTGGTAAAATTTAGTGAGGGGTCCTAATGCTTTTTTCCACTCTAGTGTACTCTACCAGACACTGCAGTTTAAATGTCACCGTAGCGCGGCTTCAATATTACATTCTCTCTCAATTTAGCGAGGACAGTTTCTTAGTCAAACGAAGGACTCATTAAACTGAATTCTGGATTGCCGCAAAAACAAACGACTAGATATCAGAGAAATGTACTAATTCGGGCCCGGGAGGCTGGACATATTCAAACCCAGTGTTAACATGCAAATTCTACTTATGCATGCTCGGTATTGAGGTTGGTTTGTATACAATCGTTGCAGGAAAGGGATAAATTGCTATAGTATATGATTTAGGCCTTGCGGGTAGGCGTTACCTTCTGCAAATGA